GTACATTGCCACTTGAAGGGTTAGTAGGGGTGCATGGACAGATAGTTTGATTAACATATTGAGTGGCAGCACTCTCCCCCTGACAAGTGAAATTGTCTGACATCTAATTAGACAGTAAAATAATAAAGTGGGCACATTGCCACTTGAAGGGTTGATAGGGTGCATGGGCAGATAGTCTGATTAACCCATTGACTGTCAGCACTCTCCTCCTGACAACTGACAAGTAAAATAATACAGTGGGGAGCATCCAGGCTGCTGGGCACATCGCCATTTAAAGGAGTGACCTTAAATTTATGAGGCATTAACCATATATATTTGGATAATACCATGAATCTGGCTGGATATTTTCAACTATCCAACATACTACATCGTGTACATATCTGGCTGGATAGCAAAAACTATCCAACCTATCCTGTATCCAGCAGGATAGCAAAAAAGACTCTATTCTCTACACCCCTTCAAAGAACTTAAAGTAGGTAACATTTAGAAGAGGAAATTGCTTCTTAGGTGTTAATACTTAAAACATGAAATATGGGCAAGCACTCCACCATCGAGTTAAATATCGCAGTAGTTAAAGTGGGGAGTGTTAGGTAAAATATTTGCATCTAAATATGTCAACATGAAACATGGGCAGAGTCTAGCTAGACACTTCCCTGGACAAATAAAATTGTCCGGCATTAGTTAAGATAACATTTAATTTTAACAAAGTGCTGAAAATTAGGCTTATTGGAGTATTATTATTCATGCATTTTTAGGACTTAACTGTCAATAAATCAAGTTGCCATATAACACATCAAATTGACATTTTTATCTAAACCGACCCACTTATCTGTATATATATATGAATAAACATTTGAAACTTATGAAAGTAGCAGTTGATATTATTAAAGTCAATAAATTCTCTCAAGCCATGTTTAGCTGGGACGTGCTTAAGTGGGCACATGATATGAGGATTGAGTAGAAATGTAGAATGATGCCAATTATAAAGCTATATTATTCTAGACAAGAAACATTGTTACAAATTATCTGTCATATTATTCGATATATAAACTAGGTCTGAGTCAAATGCAAGCCTTTGTAAAAACTAATGTATTTATATTATCGTTTTAATTCAAATATTGTCGCGGCAAATTCAAATTTTAAGCCGGAACACATGGTTCAAAATTCACGAATGAAGATTGCAAATATTTCGTTTCAAAATTGCTCTATTATATAGAAAACATAACAATATTCTTACCTGTATGCTAGGCAATCATCCATGATGTTTTATCCTCGTTAAAAGGCATCGTCTTGCCTTCAAATACTCATTTTTACAGGCAACAAAAAATCAAAATGAATAATAAAAATTTCGAATAAATATGGCGGCGTCAGTGTGATGACGCTATCCCGGGAGGCTTTGCGCGTGTTGTCGGAAAACTAGGTCCCAGCCTGTCCGTGCGAAACCGCGCTCGTCGATCGTGAGAATTTTCGCTTGCATGTTTATATGTCACACGACAAACACTATAAATATTTTGTGTAAATAGAGTTTCCATGAACTCATGAAGAATTTAAAATTAACTCGGGCGGCAAAATTTTGACCAGGTAAACTAAATAAATACAATTGAAATATAAAATCAATATCAAAGTTTAGCCACTGTCACTGACACTGTGTCTGTGGTGTATTGACTAAAGGTCTCCCCTCTTTACGAGTAAAATCTAGTGTTTGACTGAGTAAAACAACAAAGGCCAACAAAGCTATGGATGCATTACAGAAATAAATTACATGCAGAATTGGATAACAGAAAACACTGCCAGATCAGATTTGACCAATTTAGAATGGGTTACTGATTTGACCAATTTCGAATTGGTTATGGATTTGACCAATTAAAAAATTGGTTATGCATTTGACCAATTTCCAATTGGTTATGGGAATTGACCAATTAATAATTGGTTACCCATTTAACCAATTTACAATTGGTTACGGGATTTGACCAATTAAAAATTGGTTATGGATTCGACCAATTTAAAATTGGTTATAGAGATGACCAATTTAAATTGGTTATGCATATGACCAATTTTAAATTGGTTGGGGATATGACCAATTTTTATTGGTTATTTTGGGAAATTCAACATTGACTGATCAAAAGAAATTGGTTAAATTTACCATTTTAAATTGGTTAAAAATTCAACCAATTATGTATTGGTCGAAATGACCAATATTTAGTTGGTCATGTCAGACTAACCTATTCTTCAATTGGTTAAAATGACCAATTTAAATTGGTTGCAACCAATTTAAATTGGTCATTTTAACCAATTTGTTTTTACTGTGTATATAAGTAGAGTAAAACGCGCATGCTAAATCGACAAATATTCAAATGGCAAAGAGATGTGCTTTAGCACAACATAAAGTTAACGAGGTTGAAAACATCAGTATCAAAATCTAACGGCCGTTGTTTTGAAATCTAACATAAAACTGTGAGGAGAAGAAATCACGATTTTGACCGAGAACCAAATGGAAACTGAGGAGAGTACTTTTGAACCAAACCACAGAAAATTAAAATTAAACATACAAATTCAAGTTGTATTACGTTCCATTTGTTTTTGTCTTATTTCAATACTCAGATTGGTGAAAATATTGATTCGTGCCCGTTTGCTCGCCGTGTGCATGGGTGAAATCACTGAGCTATAGTTTTTGGCAATCTTGAATCGAAAATGAGGAGAAGAGAGGGATATTTTGATCCAAAGAGCTCGGTCAGTTACAGGAACGCGGAGGTGGAATCAGCATCGCCCAGGGTTGCATCCCCCCTTATACATGGGCACGGATAGGTTGAGTAATACGCTACTCAGTACATGTTGCAGCAATTTTGTTGCTTGCATTATTTCGCCTTAATATTATTTAAACGTTTATGGCTCACCGTTGCTATCCTATTTCGTCTTCTCTCTCGCTGTAAATTTTTTTCATGATTGCCTGCATCAATATTTTGTTTTCACCGACGTTTGGTTTGAAAATAAGCCCTGAGTGACCCTAAATAAATGGTATAAATATCGCATTGGTAAACCACGCGCGGCGATCAAGCAAACAAGAATTCCAACGAAACTATATTCTATATAGATAGATACTAGATAAAAACCTTTATCAAGTTAAACACGTGCTGACCCCGTCAACCGAAGCTGGTTTCCACGAGGTGCTAGTACAAACGTATACATATACATAAAGAATTTTACAGCTTGACTGACGGCTAAACCGAGGCCGCTAGTTTTTGCACATTTTATATGTTTTCAAACGAAACCAGAACCAATGACCATGCAGCGGGTTATTTTGACTATTTCGATTACTTCGTTATTCTCATTTTGTGGCGAAGTATTTCCGTGATCTATTCCTGATTTATTTTTGATATAGGTATTCAACTGGGTTTAGTAATGCTTCAGTCATTTGAACCACCCCCCCCCCCACACACACCCGGTACATAGCGGGGATTTTAACACTAACCAAGTGTCAAAAACCTAATTCCTCTGCCCCTGGGGCAAACTGATCTGTTAAAAACCCGTACATCCGGGCTTCAGTATACCTAAATACATGATAAGTTCCAGATCATACATGCATTTGAGTTACCGGTCTTCCGCAACTTCATGCAGATTGAATTTCCGTCAAGTATTCGAGGACAGTATTTAAATACTGTATATAGCTACCAATTACATAGAGATCGGAAGAGATTAGTCACCAAGCCTGCCTTCGCTTGTTGTGGGTTTTTAAGGAGCGAAAGAAAAACGGAGATCTGACAAAGATCGAGCAAAATGTTTAAAAAGCGAAAAAACGTTAATTTGCCCGTGCTTTCTCCGACGCGCAGCGCATTCTATAATATTATTATTCTAACAATGGAAAAGGCGATGCCTCATGTTTATTGAATATTAAATATTAACAGCACGGATGGCTGAGTAGGGACATGCACATTGTGCTTAAAAATGTCCCCCGCATTATTCTATTCCATAGTACCTTTGACTTTATGCTATTATTCCTAAAATTAAGTTCCCAAAATTATTCCCCATGAAGTCGAACCAAGGCCAGGAGAAAATAAGAAGTTTATTAATTAATATAATGGTATAATAGCTGGAAATTTCGTCAAGATTTTCAACTTTATTTTAAATTTGCAGAATGTATTAAATTAAGAAAGAAATAATGCATAACGCTATTATATTAGTCCAAATATTCTACGTGCACGACGCGTATTCAGAGATGGTACACACGGTTATCCCCGGCGTATCTATATATCAGTGTAATGGCTGTTATATCCCGGGTCAATTCCCCGGTTATAAAAACATTTAGTTGATAATTCCGCCGCCCTCCGGGGCATACCACGTCGTTAAATTGCGTTGAATCTCCGCCAAATGTTGTTAATCTACCGCTGTGTCCCGAGGGTGATAGAAGGGTAAGGGGCGGGGCGGGACGTGGTTTCAAATGACTGAAGCATAAGTAGACCAGCGTGCACCTAATACACAATATTACGAAAGTCACCAAACTGTGGAATCGCATCAAAAATTCGTATATCGACCACTCCCACAAACGTCTACAACCGCGCCTACATAGTTTTGCATGTTTACAATTCTAATTTTAAACAACCAATTACCAAGAACCTGATTGGCTGTTCAAAATTAGAATTGTAAACATGCAAAACTATGTAGGCGTGGTCGTAGATGTTTGTGGGAGTGGCCAATATACGAATTTTTTATGCGATTCCACAGTTCGATGACTTTCGTAATATTTCATGGGATTATATTAAGACGTGTGTTGTTCTGTGTCTTTTGTATGTCAATCCATTGGAGAAGCTCTCCCCCTCCCCCCTCCCCCTCTACAGACAACTTTTTACTTCAAGAATTTTTAAAAGGTACTTCGTACTTTTTACTTTAAGTACGTTCTGCCTCCAGGCCCCAGTACTTTTTCCTCTTAATATACTTTTTATTGTTAATTACTTCTGCTTTTACTAGAGTCTAGAGTGCAAATTCAAAGTAATTTACTTAGGCACCACTGTTTTATTATATAGTAAAGAGTGAGATACTGAAAAATACACAGTTAGATATTTTCTATATCTTCACGTGACAATTTGCTTTTGAGCGTAAAATTTCGCATTTTTTTGCTTGAGACAGTATAATAAACCACAGTTAATAGACCTAGACTTGCTGCGCTCGTTCGTAAAATATTGTTTTCACCACTCGACGTAAAAATTATAGTCATATCTTTGCGCCGCCGTGTAATATCTTCTATATATCCTGATTATATTCTACATGCAGTATTTGCAGGTGATTGATATTAACGTAGTAAGGGACGGACCATTTGATTTTTCATAGGGGGGGGGGGGGGG